GGAGGCTGCGGTGGGGCACGGCCGCGCCGCTCCTCGCTCCCCACCTGAACGCCAGCCACATGCTGCCCAGTGCAACTCATGCACTCCTCGGCCGAGCTGCTCACTTACTGAAGTGCTAAGTATCTGTGAGAGCATTGAGGCAGCCCAAATGGAGGCTGCTCACAAAGCACCAGTGGTTCAGGGGCTGAGCGGGGTCCAGAAAGACGTTAGCCAACACCAGGCTCCTCCATCCAACCCCAGGCTCGTGCATTCTCGATCTGCGCTCTTGGATCTCATCCTTTCTGAGGCTTTTGCCAAATCAAACACAGTTTGTCTCCTTGTGACTTCAGGAGACTCCTCCCAGAGCCCTCAATTTGGGGGTGAAAGATGAAGCTATGAAATGAGGCATATCCCCAGTGGTGCCAGAAATAGTCTCTCTCGTGCCTGGTGTCTTCTCTTTCCCTGCTTCTTCCCTCCCCAGACTCTTACCACCTCCCCGTGCTCATGATAATCCCCTAATTTGTGCAAAGTAATAATTTCCTGTGTGCACTGTCTCTGTTCTTCCCAGGCCCAGACAGACGAGATCTGTGTTCTTCTGCAAACCAGCTCCCTTATCAGCAGCGGGTATCAGGTGAATCAGGCACCATCTTCCTCTGATAAGGCGATGTTTTATTTTGTTCTATTCCCATTTATCTCGCAGCCTGTAATTATCCCTCATCGCAGAGCACGTTCTCCAGCCTTGTGCTCTGATGAACAGGATGCGCGGGTGGTTCGTGGGGCAGCCGAGTCCTGCTGGGAGGTCAGCGGCAGCAGGCAAGTGCTGGGGATGGAGCTGGTGCTCCAGGGCCTGGGAAAAGCTCTCCAGGGGCTGGAGAGAGATGGCAGGAAAGAAAGGAGAGTGCCAGGGTGCAGGGCAATGGGCAGGGGTTGGAAAAATGCTCTTGTTGTGGCTTAGCATAAAACCAGGGAGATTTCAATAAAAATAAGGTGAGTTTAAAAACTTGTACAAGGACAGACAAGTGTGAAACTGAAGTGAAAGGTTCCAAAGCCAGGAGAGCGGGGCCATGGAGAGCCCCGCGCAAGGCAGGACGGCGGCTCCCTGCCCAGGGCTGCAGCCCGTCGTGTCCCTTCTGTGTCGGCTCGGAGCACGGCCAGCAGCCACCAACACCCTCCCCGTGCAGGGGAAGCGCTTTGGGGTGGCAGGAGCCTCCACAGGGAGTCTGGCCACCCCACTGCGCCCCCGGCCTGGCCATGACGGCTGCTCACAGCCCTGGACAGAGAGGCCAAGCAGGCGGCGGTGCTTCCAGGGGCTGCGATCCCGGCGCATGGCCACTTGCCGGGCTCCTCCTGGTGCCGTGTTCCCTTTAATCCCGCGCAGAGGTGGCCATGGATTCTCCATGAGCCAGATGTGCTGTACGGAGCATAAACACCGGCGCCAGTTGTTGTGCTCCGCGGTGCGAAGGCATCAGATGTCTGCATTAAAACAAAGCTCTCCACTTAATTACGCAGGCTGATAATTCAGCGCATGGAGGCGGCTCTGGCTGAGAGCAAAGGGCTGGATCACAGCTGGGACTGGAGAGCCTTGGAGTGCACATTAATCCCGGCTCTCACAGCGCTGATTAACAGTGCTGGAAACCTGCCTGCCCCGCTCACTCCCTGCAAAGGGGTGCCCAGGGCGCCCGCTCGCTGCCCCACATAAGGGGACAGGCACCTGTGAGGGGCTGCACTGCCTGGTGTCACCCCTGCCTGCTGGGCTGTGTGTCCTCTTAGCACTCGTGTGGTGGGATGGCCCAGAGCACGCAGGATAGAGAGAGCAGGACCCTTCCTCACCTTCCCTCTTCCTCACCCTCGTGCTCTAACATGGACTTGAAGGGCAGGCACAGCAGCCCTGCTCCCTGGCGCCTGGGGCTGTGCTCAGGTGCCCAGTTATGGGTGCCCAGCCCATACCATGCAGCCCAAGGCTCCTGAGCTCCCCAGTGTGTGTCCAGATGTTTGCCAGGAGCCTACAACAGCTCCCAGGGTATCGGGGACATCCATCCCCGACGCAAGCACTGAGGTCATCCCAGTCCTTGGACCTAGGGCATCCCAGCACCCAGGGCACCCCGTGTCCCTTGTTAATGTCCCTGGGCAGTTCAGCTGCAGAGCAGCCTGGGGTGTCCTGCCTGTCCTGGAGACCCATCTCCTCGGGCTGCACGCCTGCCCGCTGCTCTCTCCTCCCCACGGCTCCCAAGTCCAGCCTGGTGGGAGATGCGGCACCGGGAATGCTCCCGGCTGGTGCAGGGCACACTGCACAGCTGGGCGCTGGGCAGGCAACTCCCGGCCAACGCTGCCCCGTGGGGACCCAAGGGTTAATTTGTCAGGTATTCAGGGCCACGCGCTGGCCAGGAATTACACTTTTCTCGGCACGCGGTGCTGCCGCCGCTTGAATTGGGACTGGGAACTCTATTTCCGAGCTCACCCAAATTATTCTCAAAGAGATAAAGCGCGGTGCAGAGCAGCGCCGGCGCTTCATTAACATTCCCCAGCCCATTCAGCTTTAAACGAAGATTGCCTGCCTCGGAAAATGATAAAATTGAACATGTGAAGCAGGGCATTATGTTCCATCAGCCGATATTATTTCCCGTGCAGGGGCCGAGCAGAGACACAAACAGCTATTTATGCTGCGCCTGGCCAAGCCGGGGTGGCACAAGCCCCAGGGCGAGCAGCCCAGCGAGAGCAGGGTGCAGGATGGGTGGCGAACCTCCCATGCCAGGCATCAGTGCAGTGGGCTGCAAGGGGCTCCCTGCACGCATGCTGTGACCCCAGAGGTGCTAGATGGGGGACGTGGGGCTGGGGGACACCGGGACACCCCCGGCAAGGCTGAGGAGTGGGCAGGAGGGTGCCCAGGAGCAGGGATGGATGTGGGCGAGTGGTGGGGAACGCGGCAGCGCGGGGAGCGCGCGGGTCTCCCCCGGCTGCACAGCAGCGCTCAGCAGCGGGCCGAGCAGGAAGGCCCCCAGGGCTGCGATTGGATTTTGCTTGGCCGTGCCGAGCCTATCGATCCAGCAGTAATTAAAGTCGCTCCAAAACCTGACTCATATTCAACCTTGGGAGGAAGGAGCTGCTCTGAGAAACAGCTCCCGCTCCAGCCCCGTGCCGCGTGCTCAGCGCCGGCCACGGCACCGCCTGGGTGCTGCTGCCCCACGGCCCCGCAGGGCTCTGCGCCCCATGGGGGGCTCCCGGGGGGATGGCCCCGGGGCAGGCCCTGCTGCAGGGCTGCCCAGGACCCAGGCAAGCAGCTCTCCTAGCTGCAGCCCCCTGCACCTCTCTCCATGCTGACGGGCCCCAGTGCTCCGTGCGGGGAGGTTCAAGGTGACCCTATAGCCAGGAGGAGCCCCGGCTGCCCAGACCAGCCTGTTTTCTCCCCAAGCCCCTAAGACACATCCCTGGCAGTTGTGCCCTGCTCTCTGGGTTGTCCCTCGTCATTCCCCAAACTGGGACCTGCATGGGACCAACAGAAGGAGCTGTATTGATCCACAGCTCCCCTTTCGCCTAGGATGCAGCAGTGGCTGTAGGGACCCATTCCTGCACGCATGAAGGTGCAAAAAAAATCCCTTTTCTGTTGGAGGAGCTCAGAGATGGCTGGGGAGGGGGCACGAAGCAGGCAAGGGCTGTGCATGTGTATCGGGGCATGCACACGCAGGGCCCGCTGCGCGCCCAGCCCTGCCGCCAGCACCGCTGCTATTCCAGGTATTTGCAGCAGGCTGGGACAGGCACAGGGGAAGGGGAGCGCGCTCCCATCACGGCCATCCCCTCCTTCCCTCGCAGAGCAGTGTGGTGCCCCCACAGCCATGGCTGCATGGGCCCTGCCATGGGGCAGCGGTGGGGCTGGGTCATGCCGGTGGGGCTGCCCAGGGTGCTGGTGTGGATGTGCCAGGCTGATGCTGGGGGATCCCCGCAGCCCAGGGCCTGGGCACCAGAAATAAGGGCTGCGCTGGGCTGTAAGGCAGGGAGGTGGCTCCATCTGCAGGACACGGCCCGGCCAGGAGCCCCGAGGCTCAGGGGGCTGCGAGGCCCTGCCAGGCCTTGTTGGGCCCGGCTTGGGCAGAGGCTCGGTGGGCTTTATGGCACCTTCATGCCAGGGTCCCCAACGGCCTGGAGGTGCCATGCAGCGGGTGGCGGTCGGGGTGTCCGACTGTCCCAGACCGATGCTGAGATCCTCTGTCGCTGCACGCAGCAAGCTCCTTACACGGGCAGGGTGGCCTGGGGGACACTGGGCAGGAAGAGTGGCACTGCTTCCACAGCAAAGCCCTGCTCGGCCCCAAGGACACCTCCAGCTGCTGCCAAGGGCGGCTGCGTCCACTCTGGCCGCAGCACCCATGGGGTAGCGCCACCTCTCCCGGGAAACTGGGGTGTGGGGCAAGCAGGAGCCCCGCACTGCCAGCCCCGTCATGCTCTGCTGCACCCAGCGCCCCTAAGCACCCTACGCTGGCGCTCGTCCTGTGTCCCTGCACCCAGCGCTCCCGCACGCAGCGCCCTGCAGCACCCACACCCCGTGCTCACATTCCCGCACCCCAGGGTGCCGGGACTGCCGAGCAGACGGGGCTCAGCCGCGTGGGGCACCCGACAGCAGCGCTGCCGCCCCGGGAGCCCCGGGCAGGCGGGCGCCGCGGCCGCCCCGCGCTC